CTTTTTATGCTTTTTTGGATTCAATTTCAAGCATTTTTGAATTTCCTTGATATTTCAAGGATTTTTGTACTTATGTTCATAAGAGATATTGGACTACAGTTTTTTTTCTCTGCCCTTTTCCTCTGAAAGAGATTATAGAGAACTGATATAATTTCTTCCTTAAATATTTTATAAAATTTAACAGTGAACTCATGAATCTAATGCTTTCTATTTTGGAAGCTTATTAGTCATTGATTCAATTTCTTTAATAGAGATAGGCCTATTCAGATCATCTCTTCTTGTGTGAGTTTTGGCAGATGTGTCATTTAAAGAATTGGCCTATTACACTTAGGGTATCAAATTTCTGGGAATAGAGTGGCTCATAGTATTCTTCTATTATCCTTTTAATGTCCATGGGTTCTGTAGTGATGTCCTTTTTTTCGTTTCTGATATTAGTAATTTGTTTTATATCTCTTTTTTTCTTAGTTAGCTTGGCTAGGGGATCATTGATTTTTTACCTATATACTTTTAAGAATGTGAGCATGAAGAAAACAAGATGACTTTGGTGAAAAGAAGGCATCCAGTTGAATAAATGGATAGTAGATTGATCTCACATTGAAAGTGCTTTATGGTTGGGTAAAGGGCTATGCTGCATTTGAAATTGAGATTCTCATAGTACCAGCATACATAAATAAGTAACAACTTTTCAGGGGTATTTCTTAGATACCCTATTCTGTAATTATAGTGAGAAAATGGAAGATTTAATTTTCTTGATTACATTTACATAGGAATTTGCTTTTCTTGTATTAATGAGTTTGCTTATTTCATGTTTTTGGTTGTATCTGTATAAATACCCACATACAATAAAAGAAATATGGAATTATTTTACACAAGTGGCACAAATACTTTATAATCAAACTATGTTATTTTTATTTTGGTAAGGTACAAGACTGTTTTTGTTGTTGTTGTTGTTTTTTTTTGCCTAACTGCATACATTTTTTTTTCAAAATTTATTTCATATATAAATTAGTTCTGTTTTCTCCCCTGAGCTCTAGACACATATTTTCAGCTGCCTATTGTCATCTCCCTTGAGAAGCTGTTTGGACTTGTCAGAACCGAACAGCTTCTCAAAATTATCATGTCCAAAACTACGCTCCTGCTTTGTTAAGCATCCCCCTCCCTCAATCTGTGTCACTGGCCCAAACCCATGATGTTCATTCATTCCTCCTCTCCTCTCTTACACGTCACATTAACTACATCAACAGGTCATCTTGACTGTGCTTTTAAAACTATATCCAGACCCTTCATCTTCTCACCACTTTTCTTGCTGTGGATCGTGGGTGAGCCACCACTGTCTCCCCCTGGGTGGGTGCAGTAGGCTCCTGCCTCCTCATCTTTGCCATCTAATCACACAGCAGCCAACGGGACCTTTACACACAACTCAGCACCCGACCTTGGCTTTCTGTCTCACTAAGAGCAGAAGCCAAAGTCCTTTCAAGGTCCTGCATGATTTGGATACCCCTGGCCCCACAGTGGCCTCTTGGATAATCTCTCCTGCTTACTCACTCACATTCAGCCATACTGGCTCCCTGAAGTTCCTTGAACGTGCCAGGCGATTGTTTGCTTCAAGGCCTTGGTACGTGATGTTCTGTCTGTCTGGAATGCTCCTCCCCCACATATCATCATGGCTCACCTCCTTGCTGAAAAGAGGTTTTTACTCAACTCACTAAAATTGCAAATCTTCTGCCACCCCCTCCAAATGTTCTGTCCCCTTTGCCTGCATTATTTTTCTCCTTGGTAATCTTTACTATCTCAAATCCTTTATATTTTACTTGTTTTGTATCCCTGCTACTAAATTTCATGAAGACAGTGTTTTCTTATTTAGCAGCTTCTTCCATCTGCTTACACAATGCAAATCCGACTTAACATATTTTATTTACTTGAGCAGCATTGAATGTTTTCAATGTCCTAGCCGTGTGTCAGGCACATTTGCCCATTTAATTTAATTTTCCCAGCTTACCTCTGAAGTAAACACTTTCCCATTTCGCAGAAGAAAAAAGAGAGGCTGAGAGGATATGGTGTCTTTCCTGTAATGGGCAATAATGGATATTGGAATGGGGCTTTCAACTAAAGACCTCTAACTGCATGTTATGTCCCTTTCTATTATGTTACGCTGTGGACTAATCTGCTTTAAAAAATAATGATTTTGCTTTTGAAAGGGAATTTGAAAAGGACTGTTCTTACCTATCCTTTGCCCTCTGACCCTGTCACCACGTTTCTATCTTGTGCTCATCTTTTCCTGTAGCACAGCGGTTCTCAACCTGTGGGTCGCAACCATTTGGGGGTCGAACGACCCTTTCACAGGGTTGCCTAAGACCATCGGAAAACACATATATAATTACATATTGTTTTTGTGACTAATCACTATGCTTTAATTAGGTTCAATTTGTAACAATGAAATTGGGGGTCACCACAACATGAGGAACTGTATTAAAGGGTCACGGCATTAGGAAGGTTGAGAACCACTGCTAGCACTTAACTCAGCTGCTGCTGGGGACATTCCATTCCCTTAACCCAACTGCATGATCCCCCACATTTTGTTCCATGAGTTACTCTCATGTATTTTATATATGACCGCGTTTGCAAATTCTAAATGGTCTTACAGGCATGGGTCATATCTTCCAGAGAAGGAATTCGACGACATGATCAGTGAGATGGAATGGGAAGGGGAGAACTTAGCTGAAAAGTTTAAGGAATGTCTCTCTCTCTCTCTGATGCTGGAACAGACTCAGACGCCACCAAAAAGGAAGCAGTTAGAGAGTTGCTGAGCCGAAAATGAGTTTGGAGCAAAATGACGGGGGACTATCTGAGAAGGAAAATCCTGGTCTAAGAGGAAACTGTTTTGGCTCAAGCCCAAGATTGAAACTAAGCAACTTGGAAGCAGAGATAACTGGGCTTTCTTTGGCCCCAGATAGTCTCCTTCCCTGCACTCTCATTATTTTCTGCTTTATTGGTTTAACATTTGATGTAAACAGTTTGTTTCCATGTCTGTAGAACAAGATAGTGCACCTTTAGTTTTAAAATTCTGTAATTTTAAAAATCACTGTGTTACTCCAGTCAATTTAGACTCTAGACCTAGTGAAAATCACACATCTTCTTACTGTGCAGAATATCTCTTAAAGTAGTATTTTATATTTTTAACTGAGTACAAAGACTTGCTGAAGTACTTTTGGGTAAAAATGAAAATGGTTTAAAAATCATTTTTATTTCTAATTAAGATTGTCAGACGGCCTGACGTTAAAAATGACAGACCATGATCCCAAATAACTGGGAATGGAAAAACCTAAGGGTTTTTAGGTAACGGTCAATGTTTCCGTATGTGAGTGGGCCATTGCATGATGTGCACATGCCTTCTCATCACTTTCCATTGGCTGGAGATGAGCTTTAAGAAACCAAATAGAAATGATAACATGAAACGACAAAATCGGACTTTTCTCAAATGCTGACCTGATCATAATAGTTTAAATAAGACAGAATTAGGAAGGGACCCTCCCCTCCCCTAAAGGCACATACTACTCCCAAAGCAAATATATTTCTTTTCCATACTGTCTCTATTTGATTGAAACTAGTTTAAATTGTTAATTCTTCTCATTAGGCAGGTTTTTTTTTTTCATTTTACTTGAATTGTTTCCCAAGGTTTCCTTCAAAAATTTTTACACCTTTTCCCTCTTTTTGCATTTATCTATATCTTGCTGTACTTACTATAATTATTATAAAAATATGAATAAGAAATGAATTAATTAATCAATTAATCTCATATCAATTGTAAAAGGATTTACCCAGGTTGTTTTTTTTAAATAGAATTTTACTGATTTCAGAGAGAGGAAGGGAGAGGGAGAGAGAGAAACATCAATCATGAGAGAGAATCACCCATTGGCTGCCTCCTGCACACCCCCAACTGGGGATTGAGTCCACAACCTGAACATGTGCCCTGACTGGGAATCGAATTCTGACCTCCTGGTTCATGGGTATGCTCCACCACTGAGCCATACCAGCCAGGCCCAGGTTTTTATTTTAAGTATGTTTTTAAGCAGCTTATTCTCCCATTCATATTTGTATCCATTTTTAAATGTTTGCTGAGGTTCATCTATTTATCAGTGAAGTCTATGAGGAAAAAAGACATTGTACTAGAGGTTCATCTCTTATCTTCATTATTAATGAGTGCTGGGCACTTGTGATTATTTAAGTAGTGTAAGAAAGACAATGGTTATCAAATCAAAAATGTTCTTTCTAAAGAAAGCCAGCACTCTTGTGCTTCACTCCTGAACAATCAGGGTGTTTCCGGATTGCAGAGTCAGGAAATACTTTACTTTTGAAGCAATAACGGTTACTCCTGGAAGGTTTTATAATTGGCTGCATAGTGATAAGGTGGACTTCCAACAAACACAGTGCAATCACTGCTGACTTACTTAAAGAGAGAAACATCAATCATGAGAGAGAATCACCCATTGGCTGCCTCCTGCACACCCCCAACTGGGGATTGAGTCCACAACCTGAACATGTGCCCTGACTGGGAATCGAATTCTGACCTCCTGGTTCATGGGTATGCTCCACCACTGAGCCATACCAGCCAGGCCCAGGTTTTTATTTTAAGTATGTTTTTAAGCAGCTTATTCTCCCATTCATATTTGTATCCATTTTTAAATGTTTGCTGAGGTTCATCTATTTATCAGTGAAGTCTATGAGGAAAAAAGACATTGTACTAGAGGTTCATCTCTTATCTTCATTATTAATGAGTGCTGGGCACTTGTGATTATTTAAGTAGTGTAAGAAAGACAATGGTTATCAAATCAAAAATGTTCTTTCTAAAGAAAGCCAGCACTCTTGTGCTTCACTCCTGAACAATCAGGGTGTTTCCGGATTGCAGAGTCAGGAAATACTTTACTTTTGAAGCAATAACGGTTACTCCTGGAAGGTTTTATAATTGGCTGCATAGTGATAAGGTGGACTTCCAACAAACACAGTGCAATCACTGCTGACTTACTTAAAAAGAAGGGGAACTTCTAGGTGCGACAGAGGCTAATACTGAGGATTATTACATCAGTTTGGTTTATTCATTGCTTTTGGAGAACCACTGGCCACCGGCTTCCTGAGCACAGGTATCTTTCCTTAGTGCTTTTAATGATCCAGATTTTTACCCTGTGTTTGCCTGAGTCTGTAAACTGTATTGTGTTGTAGTTGTAGAATTTGTTTCTGAAGTCAGGCAAAATGTAATTTTTACAACTCCACTGGGTTGCTTGGAGTGTGATAAATAATTATGATAATTAATGAGAAATGACAGCATGACATTTAGGGGTCTAGTGGGAAATTTCTTTTACTCTAGAGTGAGGAATTGCTTTAATGTCTGAATTTTTGATACTTGAATCTAGGTTCTTTTAGTGAGATTACTGAAGTGTAACCGCAAAATGCTAGTTAAAGGTGGCACTGTGCTTTTTCTAAATAATCATGAGGCATTTGAAAAAAGCCCTGTTCATTTTATTGTTAGTGGAATTGATTACTTTGTGTCAATGGAGATGAATAATTTCAATGACTTACTCTATTTCTGGCTTAATAATAGAGACCATTTTCCATTTTCTTTTAATGTATATTATCTTGTTCCTAAAGTGACATTGATACAAAAATAAACCCACAGATATTTGTATCTAGATGAGACCCTATTAACTATGTATCTGTCCTCCCCTTTACTGGAGAGGAAATTCCAAGAGGCAGGATAGCAAAATGTCTGGTCCACCTAGGGATAGAATTTACACCTGTCAATCTCTCATTTGGTGCAACTTTTGAGGTCATCATTATTGTGTTATGTTAAAGATTATGTGCTGCCACAGAATAAACACCTTTCCTTGAGTTGGCATTAAGTCCTCATCTGCTCTGTGGGATGTGGGTGGACTCTGAGCAGTGGTGTTTTCTGTAGCTAGGGTGCAAGGAACCAGAGTGAGCAGCAGGAGTGTGTAGCTTGAGGTACTTCATAGCTTCTGGAAACATTCCTGACACACGCATTTGCTTCCTGCTTGGGGTGAGCAGAGTGGAAAGCCATGGCTCTCCATTTTGGGGACTGCCAGATCTCTTGAAATATCAACAGAAATTTAGTATACCTATCTCACTCCCAGAGAACTTTTATCAGGGTTCTAGGTAGCTGTTCACTACTACTTATATGCCTGTTTGCTGACAGCATTGCCCCATTTCTTCTGAGCAGAGAACACTTTCCCAGTGGTCATATAGAAAAGCTCTAAGTAAGATTCAAAATTCAACTCATTCTTTAACTTAAGAGCTTATGGTATAACTAGAGGCCCAGTGCACGAAATTCGTGCACTGGGGGGTGGGGGGTTCCTCAGCCTGGCCTGCACCCTCTTGCAGTCCGGGAGCCTTGGGGAATGTCTGACTGGCGGCTTAGGCCCGCTCCTCATAGGGAGCGGGCCTAAGCCGCCAGTCGGACATCCTTAGCGCTGCCACAGAGGTGGGAGAGGCTGCCACCACCACTGCTGCGCTCGCTAGCCATGAGCCGGCTTCTGGCTGAATGGTGCTCCCCCTCTGGACCGAACTGACCACCAGGGGGCAGCTCCTGCATTGAGCATCTGCCCCCTGGTGGTCAGTGCGCATCATAGTGATTGGTCATTCCACTATTAAGTTGGTTTGCATATTAGCCTTTTATTATATAGGATAGTATAGAAACAAAGGAGGTGTTGTAAGATTCAATACACACAGGAAGTCAAGTTCGTTTATATATGTAATGTCAGCACTGTCCTCTGGGAGAATATTGTTTCCTCAAAATATCATTTGTATGTGCAAGTACTAGATGGAGATTTTATTTCTTCTGCTGCTTCTGATAGTTCCTTTAAATAAATGCCTCAATAGAAGGTCTTCATGATTCTCTGATAACTCATTTCCCGACTATGAGTGTGACTTTTCTGCTGTGGGCTCTGAGCGTGTAGACAGGGGCTGTATAATGTTAACTTTTATGTGTGTCTGGCACATGATGACAAGCAAAAACCAGAGCTGAGTGTTGTTAGATCAGTCTCGCAGCTTGTCTCTCTGCGGCCCAGCTTACTGAGAGCTGTGGTTAGCTATGTCCTGAGAAAAGCTATTACAGGCAGCTAGAATTTAGGTTTCACAGTGTAGTTAACAACTCAAATGACTGGAAGGTTAAATGGCTCAGTTCAGTCCAGATGATGAGCTTTGCTTGTATAAGCTGGATCGTTAACTGTATCACATGTAGGTGCTGAGCCTTTACCTGTGGTCAGAGGGAGGTGTCCTGTGAGACTAGAAATTCAGACACTGATCGGTCCTTCCTGTAAGAGCTCTCAATATAATGGAAGAGAAAAAGTACAAACAGGTAATACAGAGTGAGTGACACAACGGAGGTTGAGTTGACTTTATTTGCAGCCTGAATGGTGGAATACAATATAACTTTAATAACGCACCAAAACAATTTCAATATTTGTAACAAGATAAAAATTCTTAAGGTTCATAAAATCCTGCTGATACTATTTCTGTCCGTACTTTTACAGAAACATGTTTGGAAATTTAGAAGCATGTTGGTTGCAAAATCAGATGAAAAATATTTAATAAAAAGATGGTTTTTAAGGAAGAAAGGATCATTCCATCTTAGGGCTTTGCCCACTGCACTAGAATCATCTTAACTTTTGCAGGGTTTAATGTCAGCTTGCTCACTTCCATAGCTTTGAACCTTGTCAGGTATTGAAGTAAAAAGAAAATTCCAGAGCGCTAAGGCTGCTGATTATGCTTTAGTACAAAACACCTGACTGTTCCCCTGAGCCATGCCAAGTGTTCAGGCGAGTCATTGAAACTACAGTGTTTGGACTTTATCTTTTTATAACAGCCAGCTGAAATTATTGTGATTTTTAAATTGTGAATTCTCTGGCAGTATATCCCAAATAATTACATGGAAGAGAAGAAATTCTGGATTTAGAATTGGTGCTGGAAGATTCGAAGATATGCCATAGGTTTAATGTGAAGCAGCCCTGAAGATAAGATGATCTCCTCTTTTTCCAAAGATAAAAATGACCAAAGCGGTTTTGTTGCTAGTACACATATTGAGGGTCTGATATGTACCAGGAATTGTTCTAGGCTCTGGGGATACAACAAGGAAAAAATGAAGAAGGATGGAAGGAAGGAAGGAAGGAAGGGA